GAGGGAGCTGAGCCAGGAGCATCGCTGCGGTGGGGCTGTGTTTGGTGAAAGCAAACGGAAGCATTGAGGTGTGGGAGAGGAAGAAGAAGGGCCGAAGGACTCGGGCGAAGCAGCCATTAGGAAAGTGCTGATGCAGAGGTTCACTTGTGTCTACGGGCTGAGTTGGAGGAGTTGCTGTTCGCGGACAAAGGCGGTAGGAGGGAGTGGAGCTTTGTAGAAGCCTGAGCCTGTCTCGCTGGGTGTCTGCGTTTCATTCCCTGTCAAGCTGCTGGGGAAAAGCAGGGGAGCGCCGAGCTGCAGCGCTGCTCAGGATCAGATAGCGAGGAAACCAATAGCAGAGGGGGAAAAGAAATAATTAAAAAAAAAAAAAAAAAAATCAACAAACCACCAACCCAGCGAGCCACCCACCCCGCACGCTGGGGCTGAGGCAGGCACGTCCCTGCCAACTCCACAGCAGAGAAGTCGTCCCTCCCTGGGCAGGAGCGGAGTTGAGCCCGAAGGATATTTGATGACACTTTGGCAGCGATGGGCCCCCCAGCATCTTCCAGAGCCCATTTGAGGGTGAAGGCTTTGAGAGCGCAGAGGGAGTTTGAAGCTAAATGCACCTGAGTCTGGATCTGTTGGCTGCTGGGATTTATCTCTTTCATTATTTTTCTCCGGGGGGGAACCAAAGCGACAAAAAAACGTGATATATTTTTTTCAAACTCCCTCTTTTTTTCTTTTCTTTTCTTTCTTTTTTTTTTTTTTCCTCCTCCTTTTGGAAGAAGATTTTTTTTTTTTTTTTTGGATGTTCGCAATGGAAGGGTTGGGTCTGTGCCTGAGAAGCAGCAGCCGAACGCCAGCGCTGGGAGGACGCGGCGCGGACGTGGGGTCCCCGGCCAGCTAACTCTGCAGGACCTGCACCTCAGGGCCGGGGGGGCTGGATGCAGTGAGAGGTAAGTGCTGGCCGCAGGCTGCTGAGCTCCCGGAGCTCCGATCCCGACTCGCAGATGAAAACAGCAGTCTCATAGTGAGTCAATCACTTCCACCTCTCGCAGCCTTCACGGAGGAACAATAACACGGGGAAGTTTTGCGGCAGCAGCATCACTGATCAAGTTCCCACCTTCGCCCCCAACCCTATGGATGGCCATGCCCGAAATGCTACGATGGGTTTAGTTTGGGGGAAAGAAAGTGGTGCCTGTGTCGATGCTGCGGGCCCCCCCAGTGCGGAGGGTGAGGATTTCTGCTGCCTTTTGTGGAGCACTGGTGCCACGTTCACCCCCCTGGGGGCAGCTCACCTTCTCAGCCCAAACTTTTGCACAGAGGCTTGTTGGGAGATGTCCGTGTGGGGTTGTGCCCTGTGCGTGCCCGTGTGTGATCCTCATTCCTGGGGAGCTGGGGGGGCTCAAAGCAAACTGCAAAGCGCAGAGAGAAAGCGAAGCAATCCACCGGCAGCAGCAGGATTGCATCACTGTAACAGTATCGGCACCGAGCGAGCCAGGCTGGGAAAATCGTCCAGAAAATGAGCTGTGCTGGAGTGCCTCAGTGAGCAGCACCTGCACGCCTTTCTGGGTGCATGAGGCTGTTTGTATTTTTAGAAGTCTCTCTTAATTATAGAGCAAGGGAGGGAGAAAATGGTGTGTATTTAGCAGCATTCATCCCCGGGCAGTTTTGCAGAGCACACAGTCACCAAATGGGGGTTCTTCTCCCCCCGCCCCTGCAGTTCGGAACCACCTGTTTTGCAGTGGTGCTGGCAAATGAGGCTTTGATTTTTTGCATTCCCGTTCTTAGAAAGCACAGCGGGGATTTGGTTTGCACGCGCCGTTCACCTCTGCTGTTGGGAAAGCTGTGGCACAATCCCTGAGCAGCGACTGTGGGGCAGCTGTACCTGTGGGGTTGATCCATCCCTGGGTGTTGCGCCCATGATGAGTGCTTGGCAGCGTGCGGAGTGATGGGAAGTGCTTCCTGACCCCAAATCGGAATGTGGGGACCTCATTGGGGTGGCCCCGATGGGGACAGGGACCCCGTGTGCCCCGCAGGCACTGAAGGACTGGGTTGTGGCACTGCTTGCTGCAAAATCTGCACCAGCTCCTCCGAGCTCCTTCCCCTCATCCTCTGCTCTGCGCTGGAAAACTTTCTGCGTCCTTTTGTTCTGAACAGCGGGTGAGATTCCCTTTGTGCATGCACAAAGCGTCAGAGCTGCCAGAAAATAATGAAAACAAGGCTGATATAATTTTATTTATATATATATATATGTATATATATATATAAAAGAAAAATCCCTGTCTGCTCCTTTCAGGCCTGGAATAACACTGAGCATTCCCCTACACGCCCAGTAAACAGCAGCTGCTCTCCAGCGGACGCCTTAAGGGCCACTTTCCATCTCACCCCTCTGATCTCTGGCATGCTGTGACAGCCGGCGTTGTTTCTGCTGTTTTCTCCCCAAAAGGAGGCTTTCCCTATGAATGTAAGGTGGATTTTTTAGGAGCCCTGAGGTGACCCCACCGGGGCTGGATGCTGGTGGCACAGCGCGGGTGTGCTGAGCAAAAGGCAGGCACAGCCACAGCCTGGGGACAGCACGGAGGTCCCTGTCCTTCTGCAGGGGAACTTTGGAGGTACTCTGTAGGGAATGGCACCGTGAGCTACAAAATGGTGTTTTCTCCTTGGAGGCAGACAGGATTGAGTGCCTCACCCAACCTCACCGGGGAGGAAATAGGATGGGTGAGTGGCTCTGTGTCTCTGGAAGGACGAGGGGGTTGTCACTGTGTGGAGGGGGAGGGGGGAAGGATGGGTCTGGCCCCCTCTCCACTGTGCTGGGGCACGTGGCACACAGACACCTTATGTAAGCCCCATCCTGCTCCAGCACCGCTGCTCCTGCAGGGCCTTGGGCACCTCTCTGAGCTTTAAGCCCATTTTGGGGTCCTGATGTGTGCAGGTGCCATTGCATCACCATGAAGGTAGTGTAACCCCCCCAGCATTGGTCAGAAGGATGAAGGGAAGACAGGTGCAGTGTGCTTAGGGCTTTGCTGTGTCTTCTGCTGAGTTCTTGCCTGCAGTTCTGCTGGGGTTTGCAGCCCCAGGAGGTGACATGGGGGCTTCAGTCCACTTCTGCTCTCTTCTGCCCCTCTCTGCTTGCAGCCAGCTGAGTTTGGGTTCTCCACACGTGTGATGTGAGCTGACTCTCAGGGAGAAAGGAGAAAACAGCCCTGTTTCACCTATTCCCTGTGTTGCTAACCCACTGTGAAGGAGCATCACCCAAGCATGGGGACAGCAGCTGGCAAACAACTCATTTCCCCATCCCACATCATGACCCTATCCATCTACCCTCCCCGTGGGTGAAACGCATCCCTGCACAGTGGGAGCTGTCAGCTCCACTGCAGCATCTGAGCTTGGGTGGGAGCAAGGAGAAAGGTGGGATCAGGGGCTGCAGGGTGCTGGGGTGGCCCCACAGCTCTGACTGTGTGCCTGTCACCCCATGGGGACATGCCCCGCTGTCACCGCTCCGCTTCCCAGCTCACTCCCTCGCTCCCAGCTTGCAGCTTGCAAAAGTGCCAGTGGGCGACGGATTTTTTTGCAGAGCTCTTTCAGATTCCCCCGTTGGACTTTTGAAGCATCTGGTATCACTATCTCAGCGTCATTATGAATTAATTAACATTAATTCCCCGTTCTGGTAGCTCCTATTGCCAGGAGCCTTAGCCTGAGATATTTTTTTTTCCCTCCCCCTAAATGGAAGATCTAGACTGCTCCTGGTGGAAAGTCAGGAGGAGGACACATGGCTGGGGGTCATGGGGTCTCTTGTCGCTGTCCCCATCCTTTATAACAAGTGGCACCGGGGCTGTGCCACAAGGGAAGAATTTCTTAGTTAGCTCTACAAAACCCTAATCCTGACTCCCCATACTGTGCTGGAAGCCCCAGGGATGTGGACCCCAGGGATGCCAATGCCAAGGATAGTGTGGGGGTGCTCTCTGGGGATGCTGACCCCAGGGATGTCCTCTGGGATGCAGGCTGTAGGTATGCTGTGCCCACAGTTGCTGAACCAGGGATGCTGCACTCAGGGATGGTGGGATGCAGATGTAGCTGTAACAGGTGGAAGCAGGCTGGGAGTGAGGCCGGGATCCTTTGTCCTGGCTGATGTTCATCCTGCTCCCTGAATCACCTCGACGGAGATGAAGCTCAGGAGCCTCAGCCTGGCCACCAGCTCCGTCCCCTGCTGTCACTTGTGTGCTCATGGCCAAGGGATTCAAAGGGGCTCAGTGGGATGTGGGCATAGTGCCCAGCACCTGCCCCACTCCTTACCCCACAGTGACACAACCCTCGTGCACACCTGTCCCCCTACTGCTGTCCCCTGCCACCACTGTCCATCCCATGGCAGGGCCACAGCAACCCCAAGCCCACCCGTAGCCCCTCCGCACCCTTTGCACCACAGACAAAGTTGGCAGTGGTCTCCACAAGCCCTGGCTCTGAGGTGGGCTGATGGTGGCACCCCCGGGTGGGCTGGGGGACAAACTCCTGTGTCCTACATCCCCGGAGCAGCTCGGGCTTACGTAACGGCCGTGCTGCAGTCTGCTCTGCTCAGCCGCCAGTGCCACCGGCAGAGCTGCAGCACAGCCTGCATCCCTGGATCGGTGCTTTTTGGGGAGGGAGGGGGATGCTCTGGGCCCTGAGGGTGGGCAGCAGCCATATGGGAGTGGTGGCAGGGCTGGGAGAGTGGGCAACTTCATCTTCTGACCTAGGGAGGTGAAATCCCCCCAGGTGGCAGCACCCTGAGGAAGGAGGGGACAGGGAGGGGGAGAGAGGAAAGACCCTTCCCAGTGTGAGGTGTTGGGTCAGGGAGAGTGGGCAGGGGTCTGCTGGTATCTGTGTTCACTTCTCTGCCTTCCTCAGAGATCAAATCCCCACTGTGCAGGTGGGGAAACTGAGGCAGTCTGTGAGCAGTGGGATGAGACTTCCCATAGTAAGGATGAGCAGGTACTGGCTTCTTCCTGAATGGGGACATGGGACATTGCCAGCCCCTTGCATACCTTGGGTTTGAGATGCCCTGCTGCAGGCTGAGCTCTGCTTGGGTCAGGGAGTCAGTGGCAATATTGTGCAGCATCTTTGCAGCAAGATGCAGACCTGGGTATTGCTGTACATGCCATGACCTGGGAACATGGGGACAGGAGGGTGATGGGGTCAGCAGATTGGTCACAGCTTATTTCTTGCCCTCAGCTTCTGTGAGCTGCCCTGGAGCCAGGAGCCATGGGTGGCCCTGATGCTCGTGGTAGTGTTCACCCAGTGTCCCCTTCTGACTCCGCTCTGGCAGAGCTTGTGGGACATAGGAGCAGGGATTGGCTGTGGGATGTGCAGGATCCCCCAGCTCGGTTTTGAATGTGTAGGGTCGCCCAGTGCTGTGGGGATCTGGCAGGGCTCTGTCATGCCCCATTGGTGGGGCAGGAGGCCACCAGCCCTGGGTGTCACCTTTGGGGACAGCTGACAGGGAGGACAGGAGATCGACTTAGGCTGGAAAAACAAGAGTGACACCAGTGCAAAAAACATGATGTCACCCACCAGTGTTCCCTCGGGGACCACCTGTGACACCCCACAGTGACTGAGTTCATGTGGTGACTGTCCCCCATCCCTTCTGTGCATGTGTCAGTGTTTGGGCAGGATGGAGCCCAGGCGTCATCTGGAGCTGCCACTCACTGTCCCTCTCAGCTGTGTGACACAGGGACCCCGTGCCTTGAAGCAGCAGGAACAAGGGCTCCTGTGATCAAATCCCTTCTGCCTGGGCTGGGAAAATCATTGCTTTGTCCTCACTGCAAAGGCCTTTGGTTCCCTTTTAGGACGTGCCTGGAAATGAGCCACCGAAACAAATGCCAGGAAAAATAAGCCTTGGGTAGAAGCTATTCCCTTTGTGTCAGTCTTGGCCTTCCCAAACGTGGGTCCCTCATCTTTGGGGGCCCTTCTGGGACCCCCA